ACAGCAGGTCCTGGGTTCCATCCCAAGTACCTCCAATCAAAGAAATAAATAAACCTCATTACCTTCCCCCCAAAACAAAACAAATAAATAAAAAAATAAAATAAAATAAAGGTGACTTGTTAATGTCTGAAGAATTTCTAAGTCTGGGAAGAGACACAGCTCGCAGCTGCTCTGCCTGGTGCTTTGCCTGATGGGGGGCTCCGGGAAGTGCTGACTGGGAAAGAGCCCATCTTGTCAAAAGGTCAGTCAAGAATTCACCCCACGGCCTGAGGGACACCCTGCGCCGCCTTCTTCATTAAACCCTTGGATGAAGGAAGGGAGGACGGTGATGAGATGTGTTGCGGTTGGAAGTTGCCTTGTGACGTGACTCCGTGGAACCGAGGACAGGGCAGCTCTCCCCGCAGTGAAAACACAAAAGCTCTGGGAGAGGAAACATTTCGAGTCTTATGAGGCAGTCTGTCTTCGTGTGGCCGAGTCTGTAAGGTTCTTCCTTGGGGGCAGCACTGGTGGCCTGAGGCAGCTGAGTGAAGGACTGACTAACTTCTCCCAAAAAGATGGAGTGAGTTGGTGGACCTCCAGACAGAACAGTTAGGGAGTGGCGGCCTTCCTCTCTGCACCTGCACGTGCATATGAAGGGGCTTTATTTGCAGAAATGGTTGAGGGAAAAGCACGGGCCTGGGGCCAAAGTACATACACTTGAGGGTCATCTTTGTCCTAAGAAATGCATTCAATGAATATTTACGGATATTGCATTTGAGTTAATGCAGGACCCAACTCCTCCCTCCAGGAGCTTACATTTCTGTGCAGGGAGACGGGTGACTAACAGCAAGCACAACAAATAAGGACGCAGTGTGGGACGTCACAGTGCCAAGAGCAAGCAGGGAGGAGGCTGCAGGATTGGAACCAACACCATTGAGTCTGGAGAAGAGGCCGGTTCCTGGTGGGTCTTTGGAGGAGGGGAAACTCCTCCAAGGGGAAGGGCCCAGGACGTCGGTGGCGGAGGAACACAGACGTCCGGGTCAGGAGCTCATTCCTGGGGCTGGTGGGCAGGAGAGGCAGGCGCACCCCTTCCCAGGCTGGATGCCCTAATAAGGCTTCTTCCATCTCGCCTGCTCATAGTCTGGCCCGAGAGAGGACTCCCTGTTCTCTCTGGCAGGCACTGCAAAGGCCACAGTGTTTAGGATTTCTGAGCGCCACTGGGTGTTCCAGCCAAAGACTCTCCATGTGACCTTCCCCTGAATTGGGGGGAAGGGAAAAGGGAGGGGGGAAGGGAACAGGAGAGATGGGGAGGGTGCAGAGAGGGAGGGGAAGGTGCAGGGAAGGAGGGAGGAGAGTACAGGAGGGAGGGGGAGGATGCAGGGGGGTAGGATGTGGGAGGGAGAGGATGGGGAGGGTGCAGGGAGGGAGAGGGCGGGTCAGGAAGGGAGGAGGGGGAGAATGAAGGAGGGAGGGAGAGAGTGTAAGAGGGAGGGAGGAGGAGGATACAGGGATGGAGGGGGAGAATGAAGAAGGGGGAAATGTGGGAGGGAAGAGGAGGGTGTAGGAGGTTGGGGGAGGATGCAGGAGGGAGAGGGAGAGTGTAGGAGGGAGGGGGAAGTCAGGGAGAGGAGCTTCCCATTTCAGCCCCTGGCACCAGGCTCCAGGCTGAGACCAGGCAGAGAGAGAGAGAGATAAGAAAAAAATGCCTGGGCTCCAGGAAGCTCTTCTACAGCAGGCTGAGCTGAGGAGCAAGGTAATTGGGAAGGGAAAGTGAGCAAGGGGCCCCTGAGGCAGACCTCGGGGCTGGAGGCACTTCTGTGTGTTTGTCCGGTGTTTCCTCTCAGCAGGGCTGGGGCCGCAGGCCGCACTTGCTCCCCCGCCTGCAGGAGGTAACGCCTCCACCAGGGGAGAGGACAAGTGGTTTGTTTCCTATTTCTTCCAGGCCCTGGGCCCACGGGAGCTGGAGAGCGCGTCCAGATTGTGATCACAGAGTCACACGCTGTCCTTTACAGAGTCACAGGGGCTTTGTGACTTTGTGGGGCTTTAGGGCTCATTTCTGCGAGGCCTGTCTCTGACCTGCCTCTGCAAATGAACGTCTGGGACAGGGCCGTTGTCTGTGCCTGTGTGTTCTGCGGCTGTTAAAGAGCACACTTGGACACAGAAAGTGAAGCCGGTGAGACCCGGATGTCAGAGCTAAATGAAGACGGAATCAATGCTGGAGCTCAGACTTTCTGTTAAAGCCAACATGCCATCTGAATCATAAGCTGTACATTGAGTGAGTCATCCAGGGGTGATCATTAGCACGTGTCCGCATGTCCACACCCACCCAGGCCTTCGGGACCAAGCAAGCGGCCTTCTCTTGGCGCATTTGCCCAGGGCCAGCATGTCCATCGGTGCCAAGTTGGAAAGCAGGTTTGGGCAGTACTGGGCTGTGGACATAGGGCTGAGTCCTGACCCTG